TCATTTATTTTTAAAAACTTTTGATTGAATTAACTTTTGAAAATCATTCTACTAAACATCAAAGTTTTCTCACCTAACACTTGAGCTTCATTCAATACTATCTATTAAAGTGTTAGCATATTTCTCTTCTAGTACTTAATTTGATCATATCATTTATTAAGAGAGAAATTTCCAATGGTACAATCAACTTCCGTTTAAATTTGTGGGTCGGTCATGTAAAGCTCAACATTGTATTAGGATCGACACTTCTTGTTTGTAAGTTATAATGGTTCTAATATGTTAACAAAGATCCTACCAAAAAAAATTTGAAGATTGTTGTTCAGTTGTTGGGATGGTGATTTCCTTCCTCTCGTCAAAAGGGGGAGATTTGTTGGGTATTTTCTTGTATGTGGAGGAATTCCCAAGTTTGGGGAGCCCAAAGCTCATTAAGATTTTAACACTAAGGATGAGTTTAAATATAAGAATATAGAAAGAAAAATAGTCGTACAATTTTTCCCAAAAAGAAAGAAAAAATAGTTTTTTTTTCTGAGACCAAATTTTATCAAAGCTCCGATTCTGGGCCATACATGGTCCTCATGAGCTGAAATTTGTCGGAGACATTCACAAGACAGGAATTTACAATTTGAACGATCAAATTTGAAGCTCGAAACGTTGGTTCGTGTGCATGTACAGTAATCAAGAGTTATTGGTATAATCTTTCTATTTCATATTGTATTGTCGAGATTTTCATTATTTTGATAAAATATATGTTGTAGCCTCTAATTGTATGTAGAGAAGTTTTTGGGCACCCATTATTTGGCTAATAGTGGACGTTTTGGTTGGACTAAATTCCCATTGTTTTTAATCCTCATACTGGGCAAGTTTTTCACATAAAATAAATGCTTGTGTTTTTGTGGCTTGGTGTGATTATCTTTAGATTATTTCTGAAGGCAAGCAAAGTTGGAAATTATATTGTCAGAAATTCTTAATCCTACTACCTTGAAAAGTTACTAAAGATTACATTCTAATTTTTACACACCAGAGAACACAGGGAAATGCATCAGAATAAATGTGGTTATTACGTATCCAAAAAGACTCCTTAAATTACTCATTCAATTATTGGAATACTAGTAGACACTTGACTAAAATAAAGTTCAGTAAATGATTCTTGAAAACTTCAATGACCATTAATTTGGTTTATTTTCCAACAATTTCCAACATATAATATTGTATAAAATGCACTTATTGTTTCTGGGGAGAATAATTATTCCGCTGTGTATTTGATTGTTTGCATCTCTCCCAACAAGAAAACCTCTTCTATTTTCTCTTAGATGAAATAAAAATGTTGTTCAATGTACATAGCTTTGGGGGTGTAAGACATGAATTGCCGATAGGAAAATGGAGCTTATCACACTAAAGTACAGTAGATTCGATGTGCTATTCATGAAGTAACCGAATGATTTTAGCTCCTGCATTTGCAAAACTTGGAAACTCATACGGTTTTTTGCTTCTTAGAGCTCTCAGTAATCTAGATGTCTCCCATTTAAAATACAGAAACCTGAGTAATCAAGTTGTCTCCCATTTAAACAATGTAAAACTCCTTGTTTTAATTCATTGACTTCAGTATTTTGTTTCTTTGCTTATCAGTTGGCAAGTTTATAAACTGAATAAATAAATGCTTACAGCTATTTTGTCTTCTACAATGTCAAATTTGACTCATTGACTGGTTAGTTATAGCTTTCAAATGTGCCCCAAAGGATACAAAAATGCATAAATTTTTCTCATACCAAAAAAATACAAAATTTTGCAAAGTATGGAAAGAGTAGTGATTATTTTCCTTCAAATGTACAGAACAGTAAATTTGGACCTAGCCGTCCAACAAGGTCCGTGCCATGGTCGATCCATCCGGAGAGATAAGTAGGCTCGTGCTGGCTGATTTCAGCTTTTCTGTTTAATAGATTATTTTTATGGAATCCACAAAAGAAATAATAAGAACTTGAAATGTTTTACTAAACAAGTTAAACGGACAAAGATTCCTTCAACCAGAATTTTTACATTTTGCCAAAATACCTCTCAACCACTACCATCAGGGGCGGAGCCAGCCCTTCAAACTAGGGGGTCCCGGAGTTGAAGGGGCGGGGGCTCATGGGGGCTGCCTCCGAAATTTTTTTTTTGAAATATTATCTGTTAAAATGAAGAAAGTTGGTACTTTGTGATGAGGAAATAAAACAAATGAACATAAATTAATGTACGAAAACTTCACAAAATAATCAAGAAGCATATAAAAGAAACTACTAATCTTTTGAAATACTTCTCCATCACTAAGCATGAGAATTGAGGAAACTCGTTCACTCATAATTGATAAACAATACAACTTCACAAACAACTGAATGGGCTGGATTAGGAGATTAAAAAAAAAAATT